GACCTCAGAGACGGCTGTAACCGCTGCTGTATATCCACCGGCCAACTAGACTAGGTACAAGCATGTAAGTGTACTGCAGACTTTCTAACCCAGTAACTAACTACACTATGCTACTAAGCAGGAGCACAACATTTTATATCTTCAGCGGCGGTATTCGGGGGGAATATATTTTTTAAAAATGGGCGCGTCTGCTGAGTTCTTTTACTGGTCTTCTACTGGTCAGTATGAGCAGAAAGTTTTGAATTCTCATTATCATAGACTTTAGTTCTACAAGAGTTGCGAGACCTCGGGGGAACGTTCAGCATATCACGCTGTTTTCAGCTCCAATTTGTAAAAGCAGCCGATCTTCTTTGTGCGCATGGAGCATTTCAAAAGGTAATTTTCTGGAGCTTGCGAACAGAGAACAGGTGATGATCTTGCGTGCTCAGTCCTGTTGTTTTGTTTTGGGATTGCTTCTCATGCTGATTTTTGGAGTAACAATATTTGACCAATATTCATGTTCAACGTTGCTGATCATCCAACGTTCTGGTTTAATCTTGGAAATTTGAAGCTGGGACGAGTATAAAAAGGACAGCTTTGCTTTGAAAAGTGCAGTCGAACCAGCCTGAACATGAAGCTCTCCACCTCCCTCATTGTCGCTCTCCTGTCTGGTGCAGCTTTTGCCTCTCCCCTGGGCATTCGCAACCGCATTGCCAAGCGTACCGCCGCTCAGGTCGAGTCTGACATCTCTACCATTGAATCTGACCTTACCACTCTCGACAATGGTATCAACTCTTTCACCGGTTCCCTTATCCAAGGCCTCGGGCTGTTGGTAAACTTTGACTCCTTGGGGAGCTCCGTCAACAGTGCCACCTCCGATTAAGTCAATAATTCAAGTTTTTGGTTCATCATGGCCCGGACTCACTGAGTGCAAACAGGATCACCTCTACTGGCACTCTTGATGCTGCCGACTCTGCTACTGTCGCAGGGGACGTGACGAGCCTCGCTTCCCAGGTCGTGACCGTCCTCAGTAATGCTGCTGCTAAGGTATATCGTATACATATGCGCTAGTTCATGTCATTCTGGTGCTGACAATGACTTGAAAGGCTTCCGTTGTTGAATCTGCAGGCTTCACCTCCGAGGTCGTTTCTGCTCTCAACACCCTTCAAGGCGATGCTAATTCTTTCTTCGCTGCTCTTGAAGCTACCATTGATTCCTCAGTCGCGTCCGATATCTCTAGCGCTGCAGCTTCCGTCTCTAGTGCTTTTGCTACCACTCTTGCTGACTTCTAAGCCTGAGGTCACAGGAAAATTGGGATCATTCAAATTGCCCATCATGATGTATATCTGTTTTTTTTTTGTATAACTGTGCGATGCGAATTCATTTGATCAAAGTGTAGCTCATTCAGAAATACCGAGAGCAGAACTTGTGCGCGTGGAGGATCTCAAGTCAGATTCTGGATCCTCCTCTGTATGATGCAGGAAAAGTCTACATCATGCCTCCTCTGAGTATCGCCATATGGGCTACTATGTTGAATCTGAAAGCTCATGAGTGTCATACATAGTCCAATGAAATTCGAGTCACGTATGATGCTGCCTCGCTTCAATCGCTGTTAAGATAATTTCCGTTGTACAAAGATCCTTGTATTCTCCCCACACGCAAGAAGACAAAGAAGACTACGGCATAAGAGACTCATTGTGTAGCCACTCAGTTGCATCGAAACTTGGACCGATCGACTGACCCAGTCATCGTATTGTCTTTGTCCGAAGGCGGCAGTTGTCCGCCTCCAGCCCTTCTGCTCCTCCGCATCTTCTCCATATTCCAGATTTCTAGTTCTCTCAGTGCCAAAGCTCACTCCCACTCGTCCCCAGCTCGACTCCACTGCACCATCTCGCTGGTCCGTGTTCAGCTTCTTGTTTTGACTGACCACCCAGTCTGAGACTTGGGACGGAGTTTAGGCGACTGGAGGATCGGAGGTTCGCTGGTTAAAAGGCCAGGGTACCGTAACTGCAGGAGCGGAGTTGGGACGATTAGCTTATTGGAAGAGCTTATTGGAAGAGCAGGTTAAGTAGCGAGGATAACAACTCATCACTTTTTTCCATCCTCAAGCTTTGGCTCTGAGTGAAGTGCTTGGTATTATAAGCTGCGTGATTCAACAACTGGATATTCAGTTCATAATCAGAAACTCCTGTCTTTAACGGTGGATTCCACTTCGGACTTTGCGAGGCTTACCGTACCAAGGCGTCATATTAGCTCATGATTACTTGTGTAAATGAAATCGACTTCTGTCAGCGATACAATGTATCCTCGATGATCTTCAAGCAGGATGATCTTGCGCAATCTTACGTGCTGTACATAAGTACTTATCAGTATTTAATGTATACTCTTGCCTGTTGAACGTTTGACAATGACTGCGCTCTTCATACTTGCGCTACTTCTCACTATAACAGGCGCCTCACAACACCCTTTCCAATATACAGCTGAACATGATAGCAAAGAAGCGTCAACTCCATACCAGTTCAAATGGCCAATTCACAAAGTAGCAATCATAGGTGCTGGCTGCGGGTACGCATAAATCTTCTTTTTCTTATTCCTCATTTATATACATACCCGCATTAGTGCTCTTGTTGCCTACGGCGAATTCGCTCGAATGGGATATCAAGTTCGCATTTTTGAACGAGATTCTGTACCTGGCGGAAACTGGCATTATTCAGAAGAAATCCCGCTAGACGCGCCCGTACCGAACCTGAAGCCTCCCGAAGCAGATTTCCGACCGCATCTTCCGCCAGAGAACGTGTTGTTGCCTTACGAGGAGGATTTTGATAATGTTGATCCGAGGGAGGTGGCTGAGATGAAGAGAGGGCAAAGCGCACCATCACCGATTTGGGATTCATTGGGGTCGACTGGGCCGAGGGTGAGTTGTTAATCAGGGATGCGTTTGATGCAGGATGATGACTCGACGGCTCGGATAATGTAGCAAGACACACAGGTTCGTCTTCCTCGTCATTTCCCTCTCCGCGCGTTTTTACCTTGATCAGTTTAGAGAATTACCATGGCCAGACCACATCCCAATAAGTAAACTCTTGATTTTTGGGATCCAATATTCAACGATCTGACCCTTCTTCCTCCAGCGTTGACTCATAACCATCTCCAACGCTACATCCGAGCATTTGCCTCCTTCCACGGAGTCAACAGTAATGACAACAGCCCCAATGCTTCGTACAACACTCGCGTTGAGCGTGTCGACAAGCGTTACAGCTCTCTTAATGGAACCAAAGTCGAAGCTGGATGGACCCTTCTGCTGCGAAAATTCATCCAAACCGGGACGAGTTCTTATAAAGTCCGATGGTGGACAGAAGTGAGTCGCACTAACTGCCAGTGATTTCCAAGCCCAGCTTAATATTTTTCTTAGGATTTCGATGCTGTCGTCGTCTCTTCAGGGCGTTATAATGCTCCTAATGTACCTGACATTCCGGGCCTTGCAGAATGGGCAATACAGTATCCGAATCTCGTAATACACTCTCGACAGTATCGTCGTCCGGAGGAGTTTATCAACCAGACTGTCCTGATCATAGGTGGCTCCGTCAGTGGGTCGGAAATCGCTGAGGATATTAGTGGGAAGGCGGGGAAGGCCTTCTTGAGTGTGAGAAAGGATGAAGGTGAGTACCGCTCTGGCTTTTCAATGCTATACAGCTACCTACTTGGTCTTGCTACCCAGATTCCGGAGTTTTGCAGGAAGCAAGAAAGAGATTACTGTCCAGAGTTCCCCGAAACGTCTCTATTATTCCCGAGATCAAATCTTTCCATTCGCTGCACAAATCGACTAGTTCTGGATCTGGATATGATTCAGGGATTCAGCCTGGTGTTGTTGAGCTGATAAATGGGACGGTGCGTTCTGTTCAACCTTTTCTATGTTGTATGATTCGAGTGCGTAACTGACTGTCGGCAATTTACAGGTGTTATCTGGTTTTGATCGGATTATACTGGCCACAGGTGAGTAGCCTTTCTCTGAGATTCTCGCGATTCTTGTTTGATCAACCACTAACAATTGTCTTCCCTTGTCATGACAGGGTTCCGATATACGCTTCCTTACTTCCCGCAATACCATGATATTGACTTACGTCCAAATGAGACTACCCCAGCTGGAGATGACAGACCACAGCCCCTCATTACGGACGGGACGCATGTACGGAGCCTACATTTGGATTTGTTTACATTGAGGAGCCAACGATTGGGTTTATCAATAGTGAGTAACAGAAATCCGATATAAGTTCTAGTGCTCACTAATCTGGCCTATAGTGAACGTAGGCATCGACACCTTCTTGTTCTCCGAATTCGCTGCCTCCGCTATATCTAAGGTTTGGGGGGGTGAAGCAAAGCTTCCTTCGACAGAGCAAATGTTGGGACACGCATTGGCAGAGGCTGAGAGATGCGGGAGGGGCATATTCACGCCAGTTCATGCTTTATGGGCCCGTGAAGGAGACAGGTGAGCTGAGACTCCGAGTAGAGTTTTGTCGTGTTAATGTCGGACGTCTCTCTTAGCTATGATTCGATATATTGTAGGTTGGCTTAACCAGGATGCGCTGCGATATGGTGGTCGTCAGTTGGTGTCAAGTATTCTCTTAACGTGTATCATCGTACTAACAACGTCATATCTCATCAATACGTAGATTGAGATTCCTAGAGAAAAGTGAGTTTTGTTATTGTAGTGGGAGATTTTCTAATTACACTCTCACTACTCAGCCGTCGTGAAATAACGTATCTCTGGAATGCAGCTAAATTCCCAGATTATTTTAGCTCTAGCCACGGCGATGTCGATCCGTTTCCCCATGGTAGTTTTGGCTTGGTAGGCGAAGAGCAGCTTTGGAGGCAGAAGGTCATTGATGAATGGACTCTGATAAAAGACGATTGGTAACGTGTACGTACGCTGTTAAACTAGACTGTGATGCTGCTGTGTTACAAGAAAAGTACAACTGCGAAATTTCCAGTTGAAACAAGGGGAAAAAAAGTAGCAAACTCTTAGCCCACCGCGAGGGTCGAACTCGCAGCCTTCAGATTCAAATGTGCCTCGTAACTACAGACCTGTAAGAGTCTGACGCTCTATCCGATTGAGCTAGGCGGGCACAAGTTGGCTGAAAGTATTGTAGCACAATTCTACGATGACACCCACACAGACCTCGGTCTCGAAAAATTATTCGACTCTACACAATCTATCGCGTCTGCTTCCAGGTCATAATCGCTGTTCAGCTTCAGTATGGAATGAAGATCCACCACTACGCCGCCTCACATTCAAAATATCATTCCGCATTTCCTGTAACATACTTTCTGTGTCCGCAAAGCGAGCAGTCCATTTACACTCAAAGTGAGGTGGCTGGCTGCGGATAAGTTGGGTATGTATAGGTGGTGTATAAATCTGAGATGAACGTACTTTAGAATATCCCTCCTCTCTATACCTGCTTTCAATAACGACTCTGGTTCAAGCTCGACATTCAGCGCCCAAAGAATCATACATGTGTCGATGAATAATGCGTTGTTTGCGACGTTCATCCCGGGGCATATCCTAGAAAATGGTCCAAATGAAGTCTGCTTTCAGAAGACTCGGATACAGAGATGGCTCAAAATTCAAACAAACCTTCGCCCGAATCCAAACGTATAATGCCCCTCAGGTCCACCTAAATCGCTGCGAATTTTCGGCGCACCACTGTTTGAGTACTCGATGAACCTCTCTGGACGAAAGTCAGCTGCATCAGGACCATAGATATCGAGGTCCCGGTTGATCTCCCTAAGTATAAGAAGTGAGCATGGAAAACGGCGCACTTGATAGAGTGCAATTACCAAATATTAGGCATGCATGCAGTTCCTTTGGGAATGAGATATCCTTCGTACCAGTCATCCTAAAAGTTTTTTAATCGTACCATCATCGGCGAATAGAACATAACAAAATGAACCTCCATCAAGCGATGTGGAAGTCCCAGTGGAATCACAGGCTGCCATCGCAAAATCTGCAAATGAAAGGAGACGGAGGGCCTTGAGCCGACATATTTAGCAGAGATATCTTCAACAATCACCTCTCGAACCATTGCCTGAACATACACTAATTCTTCCATGTCACCGAAATTTGGTATCCTACCCCGCCCTACAACGCGATCAATCTCTTCCTGTCCGCGCGCTTGCACTTCTGGGTAGAGCGTCATAGCATATATAAGCCAGGAGAGTGCAATCATTGTCTATTTGAACGCAGTCATGTTCAAAACGGCATAAGACTTTTGACGTAGAATACACATACCGTTTCGCCTCCAGCAAGGCTATTTGACCAGGTCACAATCAATACTTGAGAAAAATGTGAAAATTCTCACTAAAGCATCCCAGCAATCCACGCATTCTCTTTTTTTTTCGACTCAGGCTCTGTCGACTCGGATACACGGCCAAGCTCGGCGAACTTGGAACATAAGCTTGCTTTTTGTTCGTGATTCTCCCTCTTGCGTTCTTTTCATGAGCTTGGATAGAACGTTGAGAAAAAGGTAAGCGTACTTACCGAATCTTTGTAGTACTTTCTGAACGTCTCATCAAATATCTTATGATCCCTCTTCGCGTCACTTTTCCACTTGGCCATCCCGGTCCAACTCGGGATCCAGTCCAAAATCGGCAACAGCTCGACCAAAAATGCTCCGGGCAGTGAAGCATGCGTGAATCGTGCGGCAATGCTGTTCAAAGAGCTCAACATAGGGTCGGAAAGAGTGAGTGGTGGCATGCCGTAGATGATTGATACGATGGCGGAGGCAGAGGAACTATGAAGAAAAGTGAATAGTAGTAATTAAGCGACTAGATTCAAATGAATAGCTGGTACGTGGGAGCATGTACTTACCGTTCGATATTCGCGACCATTGGCGTCTTAGCACTAATCGCTGGCGAATTAGATTTTTTGATTGATTGCTCGGGGGATAGTGATAGCAAGTCGTGCGCCAGAAGAGTAGCTTCGTCTGCTTGAACCTGATAGTAGTCCTTACTAACCTGGGGGTTAAAGACCGAGTGCATCGTGCGACGCATTGCTTGTAGTCTGCATGACAGAAAGAGACGAAAACCGTTGGTAATCCGGATACACGCGATTATCAAAACTCACGTTTTCCCGTATGATGTCAAGAACACTGTATACGGCGCACCTAGGTGCTCCAATACCACAGTCTTCGGCCTATCGGAATAGATCGCAGATCGACGATCCAAAAGCTCAGTGGCTGACGCTCTGTTGTTGAGTACAACTACATCTTGGCCTGCGAGGTTCAGGTAGACGAGCGGACCTAATTGCACCAGAATTTGCAGATGAGGGTCGAACTAGGCAGAAAAATAAACGACATACCGAATTCCCTACTAAATTTCCCGAACGTGAACCATAGTTTTGTTTTCGGGTGATCTCCCAGCTGAAAAACGTTGCCGAGAATTGGTATACCTCTCGGACCTGGAGGTAGTCTTGTTCGTGTTGAAAAAGACCATCGAAGCAGAATAAGGATGCCCAGTCCGGCTGTAGCTGAGTACAGAGCTGTCGAAAGATCCATGTGTAGTCGCAGTCAGAGAGAAAGAATGAGGAAAAAAAAGAAACTTTATTACACTGCACCCCCAATAAATACGACAGATTTGACTTTGATCCTACTCGGTTTGCGCCAATTTTATGTACAAAAATAACAAGCCTCTAGCAAGATTTATGTACCTCGTTCCGAGCGCACGTCAGATTCCGAATTCATCAAGATATCATCCCGCATTTCCTGCAGCAGTATCCGAAAATCGAGGAGTCCATTTGCATTCAAAATGAGGTGGATGACTGCGATTTACTTGGGCATCGATATCGAGTGGGCTTAAAGATAAAGAAGCGTACGTACTTTAGAATATCGTCGTCACACCGGCTCCAACATCGGTTCAGGTTCCACTAGCTCGATATTCAATGCCCAGAGGATCATAGATAGATCGATGAATAGCGAGTTTTTTGCGACGCTGATTCCAGGATATGCCCTAGTAGGATTTCTGTTGGAGCTTTGGATAAGTTGAAACGAAATTCGAACGAAGTTTCGTCCGAATCCAAAAGAACAATGCACTTCAGGCCCGCCAAAATCAGTCCGAATTTGGGGCTTCCCATCGGATGATACTCGATAAACCTCTCTGCACGGAATTCATCTGCATCGGGGCCATACATTTCGCGATTGCGGTTGATCTCACTAGAAAGAAATACGTCAGTACGATAAAAAGAGCTTATTCAAAGTTGAAAGCAGACTTGAAGGACAAAAGTAATTGGCTATACATGTGGTTCCTTTGGGAATAAGATATCCTTCGTACCAGTCATCCTAAACGATATAAGTATATCTGAGCGAGTGTTTTCATACATATGATATAGGAAAGAGGAAACGTACCTCCATCAGATGATGCGGAAACCCTAATGGACCTGCTGGCTGCCATCTTAATATCTGCGAATAATCCAGATAATAAATCGGCATGCCTCAGAGCTACTATAAGATAGTGAGAACCCACCTCTTTTATCAGGGCTTGGACATACACTGGATCCTCCATGTCACCAAAATCCGGCACCCTTCCTCTTCCTACAACTCGATCTACCTCGTCTTGACCTGTTCTTTGCGCCTCCAGGTAGAGGGTCATAGCGTAAAGCAACCAGGAGAGGGAGATCATGGTCTGTAACATCATAAGTCAGCCAAATAAAACTGCGTGAGATTGGAGCACGCTGTCAGCAGCAGCAAGGCTAATTATCAAGATGGAAGTGAGATCCTCACGAAGGTTCTAGTTGGGGGCGAAAACTTACTACAACAATCCAGTGATCCATACGTTCTCCTTCTCCGTCAATCACCAATCGTCATGGTGTCCTAGTGTAGCCAATTTGGAACATAAACTTGGTTGTTGTTTCTCTTTCTATTATGTCCTCAGTCGAGTGGACTGTGGAAAAGTAGTAAAACCCACCGCATTCTTATAGTAGTCTCTAAAAATCATATCAAATCTCTTATTATCTCTCTTCGCATCACTCCTCCATTTTGCCATCCCAGTCAAGGTCGGGATCCAATCCAACGCTGGCCATAGCTCGACCAAGAAAGATCCGGGGAGGGCAGCAGCAGTGAATCGTGTCAATATATTGTTCAAGGTGATCAACATGGGATCGGAAGCAGTGAGCGAGGGCATGCCATAGGTGATTGAGACGATAGTTGTGGCAGATTCTTAAAGGGAGCATCTTAAATGGACAAATCCAGATACGCACCGTTCAATGACAGATATCAAGCTCTTCTTGCCCGGTAGAGGGTGTTTTCCAGTAAGCACGTCCACTGGCTTGTTGTACGATTCCTTGGACGATGATAGTGATAACAGGTCGTTTACGAGGAGAACCGCTTCATTCGCTTGAATCTGATGGTAGTCCTTGCTAACTGAGGGTTAAGGACTGAGTGAGTCGCGCGTCGCATTTTTTTGAATCTACAATGCAACACAAGGCAGAGAAATGCCAGTTTCTCTCACAAAGATAGAATTAAGGCTTACTTTTTTGTATGAGAAGCCATAAACAGCGAAAAGACGCACCCAGGTAGTCCAAAACTACACATTTTGGTCTGTCAGAGTAAAGCGTGGATCGACGATCCAAAAGCTCCGTGGAACGGGCTATATTGTTGAGCAAGACCACATCTTGGTCTGCAAATTTTAGGTAGACGATAGGACCTAGTTCATGGCTTAATTTGAGCTTTACTGTTAAAGTAAATAACACGATACTTATTCATACCATACAGCTTTCCCCAATTACCGAACGTATGCCATAGTTTTGTTTCTCCATCGGAGCCTACTTGAAAGATATTCCCCAATAAAGGTAATCCTCTTGGGCTTGGAGGGAGTCTTCTTCGGGAAAAGTAGCTTGAGAGAGATAGGATGAAGATTCCGAACGCAGCTGTATACAGAGCCGTAGAAACAGTTACCATCATTTTCCCGGCCACTGCGATAAGGATTCTGAGAGGCGAAGAAAGAGGAACAGATGAACTGACATGATTCAGTTGTGACTGCAGAGGACATCGGAACTGCCAAACTTTGTTCGGAATAGCGTATTCGAGGCCGAAATATCTGCTTCCCTATCCTGTTATAGCTCGGCATGTCCACG